ATGACTCAGTGCCACACACATGCATCTGTGAATGCCTGGCACTATACACAGTCAACAGGACACTAAGGATCTTCCTCAAGAACTCAATGAGATTGTGGAAGACAACACTGGAAGTCAACTCAAGACAGCTCGCACAAGTGGCCACCAAGTGTGGCATATACCAAGATGATACACTGTCCCCGCTACTGTTCTGTATATGCTTGAACCTCCTCAGCCAAATAATCACAAGGACTGGATAGAGATACAAGTTCAAGAGTGGAACTACCATCAGCCACCTTCTCTACATGGATGACATCAAGCTGCATACTAAGAGTGAATGAGACATCGTCTTGCTGATGCAGCTGACATGTATTTACAGTGAGGACATTTGTATGTCATTCAGACTGGAGAAGTGTGGCCAGATGGTAGTAAAGAGAGGGAAGGTAGTTAAGACTGATGGGGTAGAACTACCAGTAGGACACACAGCAGACATACATACCAACTGCAAGTACCTTGGTATCCCACAGTCACATGGAAACCACGATGAGGAGGCAAGGAAGACAGCAACATCCAAGTACCCCCAAAGGATAAGATAGATCCTGAAGAGCCAGCTCAGTAGGAAGAAAGAATGCACACCATCAATACATATGCCCTGCCAGAGATCAGATACCCTGCCAGTATAGGGAGGTGGCCAAAGGAGGAAATGGAGGCTGCAGATGTGAAGACCCAGAAGTTCCTCACAATGTCAGGAGGTCTTCATCCCAACAACCAGAGACTGTATACCAGCTGGAAGAGGGCAGGCAGGGTCTGGTGAGTGTCAAAACCACTGTCCTGGATGAATCCCAGAGTATCCAGGAGTACATCAGTAAGATGGCACCCAAAGATGAGCTGCTGAGAGAATGCCTGAGGTAGCAGCAGGCAAGAGAGGAAGTTTAAGCAGAGGAAGTGCCATGGCTAGAAAAGCCCCTGAATGGGATATACCATCAACAGCTGAGGTAGCTGACATTGGAAAATCCTACCAGTGGCTGGAAAGGGCTGGACTAAAAGACAGCACTGAGG